ATCCTTGCGAAGCCTCTAGTTCAGTGGAGGGTACAGACACTGCCCAGAGTACACGTCGGTAAATGTAAAATTACAGGGGTGATGAAGTCAGCCAAGGGAACAGCACAGGAGCGGATGTAGAATGAAACAGGGAAACAGGGTGTGGGATGGCTTAGCTGACACACGGCATTTAAGTGGAGATGTCAGAGTGAGTGGGAGTGAGTTGGAGGGCAGGAGGCAGCCTTCCAGGAGAGAACATTTTGTGACGGTTCTGGCAGGACAGACGGAGGAGTGCTGGAGAAGAGGCCTGGGCAGCAGAGCAGACAAAGCCCTGGAGAGATGCACGTGGCCAGACCACTCAGGGGCTCGGAGGTGCAGCAAGAAGTTCACATTTCACCCCAAATGCAGAAGGACAGATTAATTCTAAGCAGAGAAGAAGCAGCATGATTTCTGTTTACATTTTTAAAATGATCACTCTGGTTGCAGGGTTGAGAATGGATTAGGAACAGTAAGTGAGACCACTGAGAAGGTGATTTTCATCGCTTTTAAGCAAATGATGCAGGGGACAGGCATTAGGATGGTGGCCATGAAGAAAGAGATCTTGTTGCCAGGAGTTGTAGTTATAAAGGAGATGCTCATGTTCCCATTCAATCCCCATAGTTACCCTTAGAGGGAGGCATTGCTGTCTACCCTGTCTTACAGATGGAAATGTTAGGATCATTGTTCATGTTATGTGGATGAATAGTGACAGAGTCAAGTCTGGGCCCAGGTCACTCTTCAGCTTCAACTCCTTCAGGAAGCCCTCTCAGACGTCTCCAGTGTTCCTCCATCTCTTTCTTTTCCCTCAAAGCTGCGATAACATCAGGTTATACTCTGTCTTCCAAAGTCTTCTAACATCTTTCCCAGCATGACTCGGCCCCCAGCAGGACCCTCAGGAAGACCTTAACTAGAATTTACTGATTTTCGATTGAACATCTCTTCTTGTCGATTGGGAAGTGAGACTCAGAGAGGGGCAGTGATTTGGTGAGTCACACAAAAAGCTGGTGACAAATCTAGGACTAGAAACCACTGTTCCTGTCACTGTCGGGTAACCCAAGAGTCCCAGCTTCCTCTGAATACTTCAAAGACAGCAACAGTCAAATACCTCGATCTAAGCCCACATGGCCCTAGATTTGGGGAACACAATCCAGATCCTATTTTCAGATGGATTTCAGATGGTGAATTAATACGGACTTCAAATGCTAGGAGCTCTGTTTGCAAACAGCATAGGGGTCCGCCTTTCCTGGTATACTCAGCTCTTCCTCCCCCCACCTCATTGTACTTTATCGTCTCTTCTGGGTCATAGCCTGGCTGGCCTGCATGGCCCCGGGCAGACCAGTGGGAACTGCGGACTCACTGCATTTTCTAAAGAAGAGCTGGGATGGTGGTAGCAGAGGCTGGGAAATGGGCAGGGATGACGGGGGTTCAGGCAGGCTGGGGATGAAGGCACAGTGAAACAGGATGGATGATAGAGGCTACTCTCATGTCAGGGACAGACACCTTCTCCAAAAAGAGAACCAGGAAAAAGGAGAGGCACTGGCCAGTGAAGGCGCGGTGGTATGGGGCAGACATGCTGCAAAGGGAGTGGGAAGCCAGATACATTTCCAGACACACAGCCAGTCCCATTGGCATGAGTGAGAAGGGACCTCAGAGGCCAAACTCTCCCAGGTTCAGGTAAGAACAGAGGCCTGGATAAAGGGTGTAACTTGACTGAGGTCCCGCCACACGTTGGCAGCAGATCTGAGATTCATGCACACACTCAGTCCTAGGGTGCTTCTTCCTCAGCAGCCTGGCTCCACCACGACCTCTTCTCCCCCTCCTTAACCCCACCTACATGCTTCACTAACTAATTGTAATCCTTAGAACAACCCCTCAGGGCTTTACTTTT